TAAACACGCAGAGAGGCATGATCCTGTAGACACCATTTACTTGGACTTCCAAAGGGCTTTTGACAAAGTCTCTCACAAAGACTCCTGAGCACATTTAGCAGTCATGGAATAAGAGGGGAAGTTCTCTTATGGATCAATAACTGGTTAAAGAATAGAAAGCAGAGAGTAGCAATAAATGGTCAATTCTCCCATTGGAGGGATGTAACCAGTAAGATCCTACAGAGATCTGCATTAGGATGAATACCTTTTATCTTATTTATAAATGATTGGAAATTTGGAGTATGTAGTGAAGTGGCCAAGTTTGCTGGTGATGCAAACTATTTAGGGTGGTTAAAACCAAAAGACTGAGAAGAACTCCAAAGGATTCTCTCCATACTGGGAGACTAGGCATCAAAGTTGGCAAAGGCACTTCAATATAAGCAAATGGCAAGTAATGTACGTTGCAGCAAAAAGGCACAACTTCTAGTACAAGCTGATGGGATCTGATTTAGTGGTGACTGAGAAAGAAGGCGATCTAGGGGTTGTGGTCAACAGCTTGATGAAAATGTTGGTGCAGTGCAGAGCTTCTGTGAAAAATGCAAACTCTATGTCAGGCATATTTGGAAAAGCTACTTAAAATAAAACTGCCAGTATCATAGTTCCCTTACACACTCCCTGTGGTGTGACTTCATTTGGTGTACTGTGTACAGTTCTGATCATTGCACCTAAAAAAGGAAATTCCAGATTTGGAAAAAGTGCAGAAAAGATCAGCTGAAATGATCAAAGGGTCCCCCTATGATTACAACAGTTGAAGTTGTTTAGCTGAGGAAAGAATTCAGACGGAGAAACATTATACAAGGATACAGAATTAAGTATGATGCAGAGAAAGTGGAAAACATTTTTCTCATTTACCCGTAATATTATAATATGTCATCAGCCCATGAAGTGGATAGGTAGGAGATTTAGAATAGATAAAAGTATTTCTTCACAGAGGCACTCACTGGCTTTAAAATTGGATTGGACACATTCTTGGAGCAGGATGCTATCAATGGCTACTAGTGCTGATGTTTTTATGTTTATACACTGGTTGCTGGGAAACAAGTGGGAGGCTGCTGTTACACTCATGTTCAACTTGTGGGATCCTGTGGGCAGCTGACTGGCCACTATGTGAACAGAATGCTGGAATAGAGGGACCAGTAGTCTGATCCAGCATGGCTCTTATGATTTTAATTTATCTAGTCACATTTCACCTAAAAAAACTCTAATGCTTTCTTTTTTATTTTGATTTAATGAAATTCACAATAAAATTAATGGATGGGGAGGTTGAAAAGCAGGGGCTTCCCCACTGAGTGAATCTTCTGTTATGCATCCCGCACAGATGCCCTTGTCAGGTGAGCTACCTTTGCTTGAAGAGAGTCACACTGCTCTGCAGATTGACTTGATTTTATTTTGCCAGAAAATGCCAAAACTGTGGCATCAAAAGCAGATGCAGAAGCTGTTGAATACTATAAATGACTTCACCACCATGCAGCAGGTGTGCAAACAACAGCAAATCAGGATCTTTTGTCTTGATGTTTAGGTTGGTATTATCTAACAAAATACAGTAAAACCCTCATATCCGCTGTTTCAGTGGTAAAGATGGTTCCAGAAGGGCATTCCAGCTATAGACCTACTTTTGCAAAGGGAATGAAACCTCCACCAGAACACCCTCCAACCTGTAAGAGGAATTACCACCTAACGACATCTCAGTCTTGTCTTGATTGGGCTTGTTTTGCTACCCCTCATCACCCAGTGTCTCAATCAAGTGTTGGTTTACCACAGTCATAACCTCAGCTGCTAGAGATGAAAACAAGAAATAGAGCTGTGAGTCATCAGTGTGCTGATGGAAAAGCATTCCAAAGCTCTGTAGGACCCTACATAGTGGTTTCATTAAGATACTGAAAAGCATGAGGCACAAGACCAACCCCTGAGGAACTACATATTGGAGTCTCTACAGGACCAAGCAGTATTCTCCAAGCTCCACCTTCTAGGATTGACTGCCCAAGTGGAGGCAGAACCACTGCAATGCAGTAACCCCCATTTCTATCTGAAACAGCTACTTTAGAAGGATACCATGGTAAATGGTATCAAAAGCCACTAGTAAATCTATGGAGGATCAATGGGGTCACATCCCTTCATCTTTCTCTCAATTTAGGTCATCATATACAATGAGCAAAGCTGTTTCTGCACTACGAATAACACGCCCTGAACCAAACTGAAAAGGATCCAGATAATCAGCCTTACCCAAGAACTCCTGGAGTTGGCCACCACTGCTCAAGGAACTTGCCCAGGAAAGGAATAATTACCATTGGCTTAAAACTGAGATCTTCCAGATCCAGAGAGGGTTTCTCCAGAAGTGGCCTCACTATTGTCTGTTTCAGGTAGCACAGGACCTCACTCTTTCACAAAAAGGCATTGATCACCTCCCTGGTCCAGCTGGCTTTTCTCTCGCTAATTTTTATAAGCCATTAGGGGCAAGGATCCAGTACAGATATGGTTGCAGAAGCCTGTCCAGCAGCTTGTCAACATCCTTAAGCTGTACTAACTAATCCAAGAAAATGGGACCAGGTACCCCACCTGATTCAACTGCTATAGCATTAGATTCTAAGTCATGGTGGATGGATGTAAGAGATTTTCTCTTGGAAGTGCCTAGCAAATATATTACAGCAGACCACAGATGGATCTAAAATGTCCTTGGGGACAGCATATAATAGGTCCTATGGACAATTCTAATTTGCTGGGCAGCAAAGAAAAGATTGAATAGAGGCAGTGAGATTCTTTTAGGCTTTTCTCAATTCCACTAAATAGACAGGAAAAAGGACTCAACTGCATCCACTAGGATTTTTTCTCCATTAGCATACAAGCCATTTTCTGTTTCACTGTCCTTTGCTCTGGGGTACACTACGGAGCCATTTGAGCTCTGCCTTGCAGATGGCATTCAGAAGCAATTCTGTCAACCACCCAGGTAATCTCTGTATCACAAAGACTGACTGAGGATTTGAGAGACCCGCCAGCTATATCAGGGCCCTCTAGAAGCCACTGAATGCATCATCCCTTGGAGCTGGACCATTTTAATAAGTCCCCTGCCTCTGAGGAGGGAAAAAGCATAACAGTCAGTAGATAGTGATCTGACCGTAGTAATGAGACCAATTCAATGTCTCTTCCCTTCAGGTTGCTATCCTCATGCCTGGTTGAAAATTGCTAATAAGGTGTGACCTGCTACAGGTGCTGGAACCAATAGCAAGTAGGGACCATCTAATGGCTGTCATGGAATCCATAAAATCCTGAGCCGCCCTAGAAAGGTTGTTAATGGCCACAAGGACCCACAACCTGTAACCAAGGCAGCCTCTGTAAGGTCAGATAGGAAGACTGTTGGGTGGTAGGGTGGCTGATACACCAATAGAATCCCCAGTCTGTCCTACTGGCTCAACACAAGATATGAATCCTCCAGATTAAGAATCAGATGGGAGACTGGTGAGACAGAATTCGCATAGACCATGGCAATCCTGGTTCTCTAATGTATGAAGGGTAGTTGTTTGAGAAACACAAAACCAACGTTCTTTGGAAGAGCAATTCCACCTTTACAGTTTGTTGGATCCTAGTCTCTGTTTATCTTACATTTCTTATTTTATTTTTACATTTTCAATTAAACATATGCATTACAACCAATAATAAAACAGTAATAAATCACAGTGTTTATCTAAGTTATCCAACATTCTATTGGAGAAAGCAATACCTGGTCCCAACCTTACAAGTTTGCTACTTGTGATGACATGGGACACATGATCACAAGCCACATTTAGGAAAGTTGTCTGTTATTCTAAACAATTATCCAACATGCTTTCAGATAGTTCTGTACACCTTCCTGTAACTTCTATTATTTGGAGTAATTTAATGTGATAAAAATAAACTTTTGAAAAAAAATAAAATTTAGCATTCTTATTAAGTTTCCTGTGTTATTGGTAGTAGATTTTGATAGTTTTGAATTTATGTTACTTTATCCTTATTTTCTTGCTTAGGACATTTTAGTAAATTTATATATACTAGCATCTGAAGAAAATTCATAATTTGTAACAGTGACATCTTGTACCACATAGTTATATAAAATTTTCAGATTGATACAAATTAAAGACTGAAAATGCAGCAATAGGAAATTTAATTTAATCAAAGTATTTCTTCTATCAAAGTAGAATTTTGATAAAATTAGGAATCACTGCTATCAAGTACTAACTATAAAACAGAATTGCTAGTAATTACAGTGATTATTCATTTTTCTTGAAGACCAGTGAAACCTTCAGATAAAGATTTAATAGCCTGTTTATGGGCTACACATGGTTTTTAAAGTATTAAGTAATTCTTTCTCCTCTTCACATGAATAAACTTCAGAGAACCATGGAACACTTGTTAGTTGAGAAATTTATATACTAAATTCTAGTTGTGTTCTTCAAGAGACAGTCTACCATGCTAAACAAATCATGGTTTAAAAAGCTGTATTTTAGTATGGATAGGGCAGAATCTTGTTCAGTTCACATATTGATATAAACTTATCAAATTCACATTTCCCAGATTAATATGCAAACCAACACACAGTTGTTAGTTGGCATTTGCACTTTTATGGATTTTACAATGGAGTGCTCTGAACAAAAAATGTGTACAGCAGGAACAGTGTACAAAGAATGCATATATTTGGAGAAAACTTATACAAAATGCATTATATAAGGGAAAACATGCTGCATAAAACCAAGTATATTAGGCAAAGGTGTGTACGAGATTTGAATATTAGAAGAAATGGTTTTAAAAGTTCATACAAGATTTCACTGAAAAGCACAATCTGATGTGGAAACACAGTAGAATAACCTGAGGACTGGAAAAATGAGATACTAAGAAAAATAAAAATATTCAAATAATTTAACTTTGTTCTCTAGTCTATAATTTGGATCACATCAAATGAAAATATATTTTAAAAAGAAATAAACACCTACCTATACTGGAGGTATAATCGGTGGCTCCAAAGATCAACTCTGGAGCCCTGTAGTACCGAGAGCAGATGTAAGATACATTAGGCTCTCCACGGACTAGCTGTTTCGCACTAGACATGGGGGGGAAATTAAAGGAGGTTACAAACTAGGTGCAGTTCATTTAGCATACATGTGCTTACTTTAAGGTGAAATTTCATTTGTAACTCCATACTAGATCTCCTATGATGATTCCTCATTATATGCTTCCTAAATCTCTTCTCCTATATCCCAAATAGTTGTAGCTCTACTTTTAAAACAACAGAACACCTACCAAACCTTCTTCTCGTTTTCCCAGAGAATTGTTTGGAATTGGGGCAACAGCTGGTATACTGGAGCAATATCGTATTTCATAAATGAAAGTGCATACCAAGTGCTTGATTTAACCAATGGATGCTACGGTGTTCAAGTCCAATTTATGTGCTTCCCATAGGCACTTGGCTGTCCACTGTGGGAACAGAAAGCTGGACTAGACAGGCTTTTAATCTAATCTAGCAGGGTTCTAAAAGTACCCTATCTTTTCCCTATCACATTATTCTGATTCAATACTGTGTTTATTTTTGTCATGCTGCTTGTTATTCAACAGGTTTCTAAAATAAGTATCATGCATCTCTATATTCATCTTGCTTTCCATTTGGAGCTCATGAGAAAATTCAGCAGTAAAGGTTTCTGACTGATGAGACAGTAGTATGTGAAACTTAAAATGGAACAATATTTTTCAATGACTATCACATCAAATATGGTATATTCTATGGCATGGGATGTCTATACCTATTTAACAAGGAATCATGAATGCAACTAACAATTCATGATGCAGATTCTTAATCAAAAATTGAAATACTCTGGAAAATATTCTAGTGTGATATCCTGGCTTGTTAACAAACTGATATGAACAAACCATCTTATAACCAATTTCAGAAGCAACCACAAATGATAGCTTGTTGCTAGAAATGAACTGAATCTTTGAATATCTTCCTATCCAGTTTGAGGATGACATGAAAATACACAAGCCTAAGACTCATAACAGATCATCATACAACAATCATCATTTGTTGCTATGTCTGCAGTCAGCTGAAAAGTTTGTTATGGTGCTGACTACATGGTCTCTTGGCAATCTGCTCTCAACCATGTTCTGGAGCAGCCAGTCCTCTGCCATTATCAAAAATGAGAATGTTTTAATTATTCTTTCCTCTTTAAAGTCTTAAAAATTTCAAACATCTCACCTGGGTAGCCAGATCAAAGCCTCCAGAGTTGTAATATATACAGATCATTACATGAATCATGAATATTAGACATCAAAAGTGGGTAGACATACCTCTGTTATTTAATTAAGCATATAAATGTTCAAATTGAATCAAAGGGAAGAAAAATAGACTTAACAAATATACACAATATGCTCTTATGTTTGATTCCTGTATTCTTATAATAAGACTAGTGTGCAGTGCAATATAGCCTAGCTGCTGCTTTGCACTAGACTTCAAATACACATCTACTCTTTGTGTGCCAGAAAGGACTGAAACATAGAAACTTCAAAGAAAACAGAGTTCCACAAATGTTCCTTGCTTTCAAAATGCAGATTAGTACTTTTAAAATGGCAGAACTATCCACATGAAAATCAGCATACATATCATTCTGAAAATAATGCACCAAAACTATGTTCAATTATTTTAATCTTTGCCAGAAAGACTTACCTTCCAAAATCACAAAGTTTTAGGACAGCTGTGTCAGGATCCAGCAAAAGATTCTGTGGTTTTATATCCCGATGGCATATTCCAAAGGAATGGATATAGGCTAAACTTCGGAATAGCTGATACATGTATAACTGGAAAATAAAAAGAAAATTGCATAAAACATATCTCCCATTTAAAAACAATGACAGAGGGCAGGTTTAATGCATTAACTTTTTATAGACAACTAAAAATACCTTCAATATACTTAAAACTAACACTCTGAAATTATGTCAAAATAGTGTGCTTTTTTCTTCATATGTGTTTTTTATTATTTAAAAACATATTTGAAAGCAGTGAATTAAAACAGTAACAACACATTAAATACAGTAATAAAACTGGACATCAGGAAAACACAATTCAGCTCATGAATTATTTTATTAATTGAAAAGCCATTGCACAAACTGCTGTTGGGGTTGCACTACAGCTGCCTTACACTATTGCACTGTAATTTTGGTTCACAGAATGACATTGCTGAATACTGCTCTGAGAATTTAACATAAAATCAAAATATAGAAATCCATGCTATTAGTCCCTGATTTGCTTAACCTCCTCCCCCCAACAGGCTCACTACCCCTTTAGGTAATTGGCTACATTGCTGAACTACTTTTACCATCAAAAATGTTTTCCTAGAGTTCAAGTGAAATCTACCTTCTTGTAACTTATACCCATTAGAGCTAGTTGTGTTTTCTTGCATTAAAAAATAAGCATTGCCCTCTTCTGTGTAAAAATACTTCAGGTGTTTGATGAGTGCTGTCAGTCCTCATTCCTACAGGCTAAATAGGTCTAGCCTTCCCTGTGAGAATTGGTATTCCATGTATCCGACAATACTCTCTTGCACCATATTCTTCATGAACTGTAGCCCCACAACAGGTCACAATACTCCAAGTGAGGTCTGACTAGTACATAAGAATTTGAACTATTAGTTCCCATGACTTGGAAACTGTAGGTCTACTAATACAAAAAGTTACATTAAAGGAGGGTTTTTTGCTTTGTTTTGTTTTTTGACTGCTGCATCACACTGAGTCATGCTTAGCTTCTGACTGACCGTAATCTTGAGATTTCACATATACTACTGCTAACCTAGATATCCACTTTCTATATCTATTCATTTGAGTATTTTCTTGTTTGCCTACATACATAATTTAGTCTACATTGTTCCTGAATGTCATTGTACGTTTCAATACCCCACTCAAAACCTTCATGAAAAGGAAATGCTGATGGAAAAGAAATACATTATTTGAGTATAGTTTTCTAACTATACTCCAAATCCACCTGATGCCATTATGGACACATTGTCAAATGCATAGATGGAATAAAGATTAAGACCACAATATTCCCACAATCCACTAAACTAGTAACATGATAAAAACACACACATGGGGAGAGGGAGATTAGTGTGGCAGGTTGTTTTTTTTTTTTTTAAAAATCCATGTAAGCAGCTACTAATCACTACATGCTTATTGATCCTGGAATACAATTGACCATTCACTAGTAACACTAGGTTTTACAAGGGTTCTTTCCTACTTAAAAGATAAACACAAAGAGGAGGTGAGCTTTCACCACTGCGGCTTTTGGCAAAATGGTTCTTTCTTTAATTCTTGCATAACACAGAAACAACGTGGGTCAGAAGGAGTCACCTGGGCCATCTAGTCTGACCCCCGGCTTCAGTCAGCTCCACTCATGACGTGCTTACCATGTGCATGTCCAGTCTATCCTTGAACACCTTCAACCAATGCGGCTTCAACCTTTCCCCTTTCCCATGGAAGCCCATTCCATACCCTTGAGGTCTTAAATGTCAGGAATTATTTCCTTGCATCCAAATTGAACCTTGGTTCCCTGAACCTTTCCCCATTGGAATGTGTCCTGCCCTCCTCTGCAGGGGAAAACAGGTCTCTACCCATCTCCATGTGACACACCCTCACGTATCTACAGTATATCACAGAAGTGAGTACACCCCTCATATTTTGTAAATATTTTATATCTTTTCATGTTACAACCCTGTAGAAATGACACTTTGCTACAATGTAAAGTAGTGAGTATACAGCTTGTATAACAGTGTAAATTTGCTGTCCCCTCAAAATAACTCAACACACAGCCATTAATGTCTAAACCGCTGTCAACAAAAGTGAGTACACCCCTAAGTGAAACTGTTCAAATTGGGCCCAAAGTGTCAATATTTTGTGTGGTCACCATTATTTTCCAGCACTGCCTTAACCCTCTTGGGCATGGAGTTCACCAGAGCTTCACAGGTTGCCACTGGAGTTCTCTTCCACTCCTCCACGACGACATCATGGAGCTGGTGGATGTTAGAGACCTTGTGCTTCTCCACCTTCCATTTCAGGATGCCTCAGAGATGCTCGATAGGGTTTAGGTCTGGAGACATGCTTGGCCAGTCCATCACCTTTACCCTCAGCTTCTTTAGCAAGGCAGTGGTCATCTTGGAGGTGTGTTTGGGGTCGTCATCATGTTGGAATCCTGCCCTGCGGCCCAGTCTCCAAAGGGAGGGGATCATACTCTGCTTCAGTATGTCACAGTACATGTTGGCATTCATGGTTCCCTCAATGAACTGTAGCTCCCCAGTGCCGGCAGCACTCATGCAGCCCCAGATCATGACACTCCCACCACCATGCTTGACTGTAGGCAAGACACACTTGGCTTTGTACTCCTCACCTGGTTGTCGCCACACACGCTTGACACCATCTGAACCAAACAAGTTTATCTTGGTCTCATCAGACCACAGGACATGATTCCACTAATCCATGTCCTTAGTCTGCTTGTCTTCAGCAAACTGTTTGCGGGCTTTCTTGTGCATCATCTTTAGAAGAGGCTTCCTTCTGGGATGACAGCCCTGCAGACCAATTTGATGCAGTGTGTGGCATATGGTCTGAGCACTGACAGGCTGACCCACCACCCCTTCAGCCTCTGCAGCAATGCTGGTAGCACTCATACATCTATTTCCCAAAGCCAACCTCTGGATATGATGCTGAGCACGTGCACTCAACTTCTTTGGTCGACCATGGCAAGGCCTGTTCTGAGTGGAACCTGTCCTGTTAAACCGCTGTACGGTCTTGGCCACTGTGCTGCAGCTCAGTTTCAGGGTCTTGGCAATCTTCTTATAGCCTAGGCCATCTTTATGTAGAGCAACAATTCTTTTTTTCAGATCCTCAGAGAGTTCTTTGCCATGAGGTGCCATGTTGAACTTCCAGTGACCATTATGAGAGAATGAGAGTGATAACTCCAAATTTAACACACCTGCTTCCCATTCACACCTGAGACCTTGTAACACTAACGAGTCACATGACACCGGGGAGGGAAAATGGCTAATAATGCCCAATTTGGACAGTTTCACTTCGGGGTGTACTCACTTTTGTTGCCAGCGGTTTAGACATTAATGGCTGTGTCCATTACAATAAACTGCCTAGGAAGGCCTTGATGTTGGCCATGGGACTTAAAACTATATGGCCCACCATGCTCATTTATCCAGCCTGCCTCAGAGCTTTTGGACTCGCTTGGGGAAAACGATCTCCGAACAAGTCCAAAAGCTCTCAGCCAGTGCAGGTGTACTCACTGTGGAGATGGCCACGATCGTAGTTGTGCTCGTGCAGGGAAGATGGGCGCAACTGCAGTCGTGCTCAGGGGGAGGGGGGATGGCCACGAGCACAACCGCGCCTGTCTTCCCTGCTTGAGCGCGATCACGTTTCCCCCCCCCCGATTATGATCACACCCATCTTCCCTCCCCCGCAGCACGATCGCGGACATTGTAACTATGTCCCTTGAATATGGATATGCTCTTCCCCACTTCATCTTGGGCTTCTGCTGCAGCCCAAGTGAGCGGAGCAAACATTTTAAATTATTTTTAATTTTTAATTAATTTTTAAATTATTTTAATTTTAATTAATTTTAATGTGCAGTGTGTACAGGAGTTCGTTCATATTTTTTCAGACTATAGTCCAGCCCCCCAACAGTCTGACGGACAGTGAACTGGCCCAGTTTAAAAAATTTGAGGACCCCTGTTGTTGACAATATGCTCCTCAAACTGTTTTCTTGCTTCTCTTATTGTCTCCTTGCATCTCCCTTGTACAAGCTTGTGGTACCTTCTCTTCTTTTCATCTGGGCATTTCATTCTTCTTTTCATTTCATTTCCTTCCATTTTTTGAAGGAAACTTTCTTCTCCCTAACATCTTCCTTGACTCTGTGCATTAACCATGCTGGTGATTTCCTGGACTTTGGCGCTATCTTTTCTCACTTGTAATATGTATATTATCAGTGCCTCTATTATTGTGCTTTTGAGTAATCACCAAGCACTTTGAAGCGTTTTAACTTTCTGATTCCCCTCTTCAGCTTCTTCTTCATCAGTTCCCTCATTTTTTAGAACTTTCCTTTTTTGAAGTCAAATGCAACTGTGTTTGATCACTTTGGCAGTCTTCCACCTAACTGTACATTAAATCTGATACCAGCATGGTCACTGCTACCTAATGGCTCAACAAATGTATATCCTGTACTAGTCCCACCTAGTACTAAATTCAGGATTGTTTCCTCTCTGGTTGGTTCCATGCCAACTGCTCTAGCAGACAGACATTTAGGACAAGAAGTTAACCTTGATGACTGTAACCAAATACAAACTGTATTTGGATGTAACTGTATGACTGTAATGAAATACAAATTTTATTGTTTAAACACAGGCCACATCATCCTTTTTCCATTTGGTTGCCTGACACTCCGGAAAAGCTGAAAGCTTGAAAGATATTTTGTGAACTTTAACTCAGCCTAAAAGATATTATGGTGATACAGATTGCTAAAATGCTCTTTTCTCAATTTTTCTTTTAGACAAAACAGCTATGTTTGCTTATGTTATTTACACAATGTTTGCTTCTATGGCTACTTTCTGATTCAAGGCCTACCTAATTTTCTTCCATGTTCCAGGATTTCTCTTCCAAACCAGAAGTATCTGAGGTCAGTTCCTTACCCACGACAAAGATGTTTAAAGTCTTCCCACATTGCACTGGTAGCAGCTAAAGAAGATTGCCTACCTGTAACTTTCATTCTTCAAGTGGTCATCTGTGCATACACACATATGGGCTCTGCACTCATG